GGGGGGAAGGGCTGTTTCCCCAGAAAGCTAGTTAAACATTGCCCAGCATGTCTCTGCAAAGCTTCCCTGTGGATCCTGGCACAGGTATCAGGACCCGGTTGTCTGCTGCATCCGTCACTGGGACATACACCGGTGTGACGTGAACCCCACTGGTTGGCAGAGGCAATAGGCGGGCACCGTGCCTGTGTCCCTGTGTACATGAGCCACACGGGAGAGTGTGGGGCTGGGTTGGCATTTGGGAGAAAGGGCGAGCCTGACTCCAGGCCACACACACCCCCGCACAAGGAGAAGCCAGTTCCGAGCCCCCCTCAGCTACAGCTGCAGTGGTCCCAGCATCCCCACCTGCCGGCCCAGCCCACACTCACGCCCTCATTCCTCCCGCAGCACATCCGCGTGGGCTGGGAGCAGCTGCTCACCACCATCGCCCGCACCATCAACGAGGTCGAGAACCAGATCCTCACCCGCGACGCCAAGGGCATCAGCCAAGAGCAGATGCAGGAGTTCCGGGCGTCCTTCAATCACTTCGACAAGGTGAGCCGCACCCTCTTGCCCCTTGCTGTCTTCCCTCCCCACTGTCACCTCCCACCTTGCCCCCTCCGTCTTTGCATCTGTCCGTTTGTTCACATCACAGTTGCTGAGTATCAGAGGCCACTCACGGGGGCCGACAGGGCCCCAGCCACTGAAGGGGGTGCAGAGGTGCATCACCTCGACCCACAACGTGGGCAGCTTCCCTCAGGAAGAGAAAGGGGAGTCCCAGGCCCTGCCCCCGGGGCTGTGCATCCTCGCCCACCTGCTGATGCAACCCTGAACAGACGGGTCCCAGCACACCAGGGATTTGAGACCTGACCCAGGAATCTGATCCACACACACACACATAGTGTCCTTAAAAGTCAGATTTGGTCTGGCAGCCCCTTTAGAGGGGCCCTGAGCACCAGTTTGCCCCGGGCCCTGCCGGGCCTGATGTGTCATCTGCCTGCTTTCTGTGGGTAGCATGTGCTCTGGGCGTTAGGCAGGGGCCCAGCAGGAGGGGGTGCAATCCCCTTCCTCCCACCCCAAATCCTGGAGGCGAGGAGAGCTCCCCCCTTCTCTCCCAGGAGTCCTGGGACTCAAGCCTCAATCCTGCACCTCTCAGCTCCCACCCCTGCTCTGGCCCAGAGGAGCTGGGAGGAGGCCTCTGACTGCCCTCCAGGCCACCCACGCCCCTCCACCTGCCCCGCCCTGGCCATCAGCTCGTCCACGTCACCTCTAACTCTGTGTTTCCCTCCCCCGTGTGTCCCCTTCCCCCGCCCTCTGCATGTGACCCGGGCCCCTCTCCCCGCCTCGGTGCCGGCCTGGTCTCCACACCGCCCCTTGTGCACACCTGCCTTCGGACGCCGGCAGGAGCACGGCGGGGCGCTGGGGCCGGAGGAGTTCAAGGCCTGCCTCATCAGCCTGGGCTACGACGTGGAGAATGACCGGCAGGTACGCGCCCCCTGGGCCCCAGCGGACTGTGGCATTAACTGCTCTTCTCTTTCTCTCTCTCCTTCTCTCTGTCTCCCCTTCCTCTGGCCATCCCCCCCTTGCCATCATGTGTGCCATTTCACGGGCTCTCTTGCCTCCTCCCTGCCCTTTGTCTCTCCGGACACCTTCCCCCTTACCTGGTCTCTCGGGGCCGCCTCTGTCTCCCCCGCTCCCTGCCGCTGTCCTGTTTCCCCGCTGTGCACACGGGGCGGCCCCTCTTGCCTACTCTGGGCGCGCTCTCCTCTGCTGTCCCTGCGTCCTCGAGCAGAAGCAGACGGGCAGCATGGACTCCGATGACTTCAGGGCTCTGCTTATCTCCACGGGATACAGCCTGGTATGCCGCCTCTGCCTGCCCTTGCTGCTGCGCCTCCCCTCCTCCCCCTCCTCCGGCCCTCCCCCTCCTCCGGCCCTCCTCACCGCCTCCAGAATGTCCGCGTCCTCGGGGACACTCCTCCACCAGAGCAGCATGGCCTGGCCTCCCTCCTCCTCCTCTGCTGCATCTGCTGGTTGGGGTCCCTCCGATGACTCCCTGAGCCTCCCACCTCCTTTCCTGGAAGTCTCTGGAGAGAGGAGGTCAGGCCTCCAGCTCTCTCCCCTTCTCTTTCTCTTTCTCTCTTTCTTTCTTCCTCGCCCTCCCGAGCTAACTTGCGAGCCAGGGCTGAGGAGCAGTAGGCCTGTTAGATCCACTCCCCAACTCCCCACTTCCCAGAAACGCGGGACGGGAGGAGCAGAGGGTGCACGTCCCAGGTCTGGGGCAGGTGGGGCAGTCGGCCGGGGAGCCAAGACCCTTGGAGGCGGGCTGACGACGCCTGTCGTGTGCGCCGGGGTCGGGCCCTGCTCTCCTGACCCGGTTCTAGCCACCAGGCCGGCCAGGCCGCCCTGCCCCGCTGAAAGGCCGCCTGTCCCCCGCCCACCCCCCTCGCAGGGCGATGCCGAGTTCAACCGCATCATGAGCGTGGTTGACCCCAACCACAGCGGCCTCGTGACCTTCCAAGCCTTCATCGACTTCATGTCGAGGGAGACCACCGACACAGACACGGCCGACCAGGTCATCGCCTCCTTCAAGGTCCTGGCCGGGGACAAGGTGAGCAAGACACCTGGGAGGCACCCAGCGGCCGGCGGGGAGGGGCCCTTGCGGCCAGGGCTGGGCGCAAGGGGCCCGGTGGGCCAGTGTCTGTGTCGGGGGTGACCCAGATTCCCGCCCTGCCGCCCCCAGAACTTCATCACAGCCGAGGAGCTGCGGAGAGAGCTGCCCCACGACCAGGCCGAGTACTGCATCGCCCGCATGGCCCCGTACCAGGGCCCTGATGCCGTGCCCGGGGCGCTCGACTACAAGTCCTTCTCCACAGCCCTGTATGGCGAGAGTGACCTGTGAGGCACCCACCGGAGAAACCCTGACCAAACACCCCTCCTCACAGCCTCCAGGAGGGGCTGGGGGAGCTCTTCTGCCCCACCCCAGCCCCCCGCTGCAAGGGCACCCCCTGGCCCCACTCCTCTGACTCTGTATCTATGCAAAGCACTCTCTGTCAGTCCTTTCTGGGCGGGAGCGGGGTGGGCAGGGAGGGGCTGGGGCAGGCTCTGTCCTCTCTCTTTGTCGGTGGGCCAGGAGGATCTCCCCTTCCCCCTGGACGGGGGTGAGGGAGGCTTCTGGGTTCAGCGCTTCTGGTCTGGTAAATATATATGATGTGTTGTTTTGTTTTGTTTTTTTTAACTCTGGAGGGGACAGTGGATCCTCACAGCAAAACAGGCCCCCTCCAAGCCCTAGAAACGCCCACCCCTCACCACCCCCCTGGTCCATTTCTTCTCCCCTGAGGTCCCTTCAAGGCCTCCCACATCCAGGCCAAAGCCCGACGTGCCTTGTCCAGGAACCGCCCGGGCCTGCGATGGGCCCCGCAGAGGGCGCCACAGCCGCCCGGCAGGAAAGAGGACCAGCCTGCTCCCTGCTCCCTTGTCCCCTCCCCTCACTTGGCATCGCCAGGAGATGAGGGGGTTCAGCTCAGTCCCCCCTCTTCTGCACCAGGAGTGGGGTTGGGCAGACCAGCCTCCCACCCTCACCCCCAGCCAGCCCCCACCTTGCTTTGTCTGGACCTGCGTATCTCTCAGATTTTCTAAGGACGCCCTCCGCCCACAAAAAAAAAAAAGAAAAAAAAGAAAAAAACACACACACAAAACACACACAAAAATCCACAAAAAAAAAAAAAACTATGAAAAAAACCTTTCAGAGAATTACTATTTACTTTATTAACTTACGGATTTATTATATAAATATATATTCACCTAGCAGCATATCTTCGCCGCCTCTTGCTCTCATAATGAAGACATAGCTGATTTGCTCCCCTCCCCCAGCCCCTTACTGATTTCTCTGATGTCTGCCGTCGGTGTGGGTCTCTGGGGACACCCCCCCCTCCCCGAGGCGGAGGGTGGGCTGCTGGCCTAGCTGCCTGTTAGTGGATGGTTTCACTCCACCACCTCCCCCCCCCCCCCTTTTTTTTTTTTTTTTTCTTTTTTTTTTTTTTTTTTTTTTTTTT